TATATATATATATTCAAAGTGTTTATGTCCAAAATTGATTGGACCTAGGGCATAACACTTACAAAAACCTAGGTGCTAAAGGTAGCAACCATTGGTTTCTGCCTTTACATGTAGAAGAGCAATGCGCCAACAGCTAGGGTCACATCGGTTACACACTGCAAGTTGACTGCTTTAATTAGCCAAGTCGTTGCAAACCGCAACACCGGTGTTGCTGGCTCAAATCGAGCTGTCCACGGCGGCACCTTCAAGTGTTGCCACCTCTTGTTTGCACAAATTTTAAATCACATATATCGATGTGAATTAAATCAAGTGATTCTGTATTTCTTTCAATTGATTTAAAGGATTACCTTATCAATTTTGTCTCACACAAGTTTCGCACTTATGTTTGGAATCAATGTGAAACTCGGGTATAACTTTTTTGAGTGTATATCATTTTCTTTGATTTTCTTCACTTTTTCGGATGTGTGTTACTTTTTCTAATTTGTATCACTTTTTGAGCATGATATTTTTTTTTTTCTAACTTTTGTCACTTTCTTCAAATTTCTATTAATTTTTTTTTAGAATTTCTGTCACCTTCATTAATTTCTGTAACTATTAGAGTGTTTTTATTTTTTTTTAATTTCTATCACCTGTTTTCATTTTTTGTCACATTTTTAATTTTATGACACTTTTTTTTTCTAATTCTATCGCTTTTTTAGTGTTTATCACTTTTTTACTTATAAAGACACATAAATTATTTAGGACAATTATCGGTATTGTACTATGAATAACATTACTCTAGTTTTATCGATAGTTTTAAAATGTTTAACAAAAATTTAAAATACAACGGTGGTTATTATTTTGTTAATTTTACATGATTTCTAAATTTCAATTGCAAGAAACATACAGTCACTCTCTACCAGTAAGTTTGAAATCCCTAGGTTGAGACATAATTGTAGGCCTCTCACAATTGTAGCCCCTTCGACATGTTTAGGTTCTAGGATACATTTTTCAAGGCCACTAGCAGACATAACTAATTCACCATCATGATCCCGCAAGATAATACCAATTCCAACCTTGTTAAAATCCAAAAACAAAGCACCTTCAACATTGAGCTTGAAGGCAGTTAGGTGGTGCGGTCCATCTATACTTTTGGGGTAGCACTCTCGGAGCAGTCGTTCGAGGAAGGGCCGGTTCTGTAGCAAGTTTATTGGCTAAAGCTGTTGCGATTACTTGTTGTGGTGGAATGGTAATCTAATCATGGATCATTTTATTTCGCCAATAACAAAATCCCCAAGTAATAAGCAGAAAATCCATTAGAGCATCCTTTGATAGTGCTATCAAAATATCGGCAGATGCTTGCAAAAAGCCTCATGGATAACTTTTGTTTTGTAGCACCGGGAATCGACTAGTTAGACTTTGATGGATATATGGGCAATAAAGCAAAACATGACATAAATCCTCCACTTGGTAGCCACAAAAACAACACTAGGAAGAAACATGAATATTTCGGTTGATCATGTTTTGTTTTGAGGGTAAGCTATCTTGGCAGGCTCTCCAAGCGAAGACTTTTATCTTTTGAGGGATTTTCAGCCGCCGCATCGTATTCCAAAACTTTTTTTTCTTAGCCATATTTGAGGAGTTGCCACGATCTGGAGTAAGGCAATTTTTGAAGAATCTATAAGCGCTATTCACGGAGTAGATTCCAGATTTTTCCTGTTCCCATGACCACACACCCTGTTCATTCTAGCAACAAGGTTGTAGCTTTAGGATAGACTCAATAATTATTAGAGTGAATAAAGTTCTAAGCTTTTCCAAGTTCCATGACCCCAAGTTGGGATCAATCAGTGAGGATACTAGACTTTCAAGTTGAGCCCTATGAATCTGTTGAATATGAGCCCCTAATTCCCTTCTCAAATTTATAATTCCTGGAATCCATTTATCTTTGAGAATATTTATGTTTTTTTCCATTCTCCACAATCCATTTTCCTCCCTGTATCAATGATTTTTAGCCTCCCAAATTCCATGCCAAGCATAGGAGGGATTACCTCCTAAAGATGCTTTCAAAACATTGTCGTCGGGGAAGTAGCAGGCTAAATAGATTTTGTAAACCAATCTA